TGCCTCTTGAAAATAGTGGAAGAAACAGTTCAAAGAAGTGAGCTGGTTAGAAGCAGAACTGCCCATAGATTCACTTTTCAGATCTCAATTCACAATAAGCAATAGACCAACCAGAAGAGAGAGAAAGACAAGACAGGAACAAATAATAGTAGTAAGGAGACAAATTATGGGTGACTACCATGCCCTCATACACCTGAACAGACCACGGGATTCCAGTGACATCACGTGGATCCTGGGTATTGGATCCTATGTGTCCAAACAGAAGGCGCCATGCTGGGTGGTGGTGACTCATGCCCTTAATCCCAGCAGTCAAGAAGCAGAGGCAAATGGATCTCTGTGAGTTTGAGGCCAGCCTGATCTATAAAGTGAGCTCCAGAACAGCCAAAGCTGTTACACAGAGAAACCCTGTCTCAAAAAACCAAAACCAAAACCAAATGAAACCAAACCAAAAACCAAAAACCAAACCAAACCAAACCAAAAATCTAAACAAAACAAAACAAAACAAAAACCCAAAAGCACCAAACCAACCAATCAAAAACAAACAGAAGGTGCCTTAACCAGACTTACTTCTAGAGGTGACAGAACAGGCATTCTCACTGAAGGAAATTTAGACAAGGGTGTTGGAGGGTGTTGAACCTCTGCAAGTACCAAGATCTTCTCTCCCAGAGCCCTGGAGTGTATCAGGATGTGCATCCCCTAGGAGGAAATCTGTGACCACCCACTGCGGTCCACAGTTGCACTGAGACCTGAGGGTTAGTCAAACTGGTGAGGGTCTCTAAAGGATCTCACTGGGGTCTCCAAATGTTGCAGGGTAGAGACCCAAAAAACACTCAGTAGAACCAAAATCCAAATTGAGAGTCTGTATTTAGCCAGCTGGCAACTGCCTGGAGAGAAAGAAATACATGAATTTTACAAGAAACTTATAAGTCAAAGCACACAAAAAAATGGCGTCCTGATTGGCAGTTGTAGGGGGGGAAGTAAGCAGACAAGCAGTTTAACAGAAGCCAAAACATGCAGTTAGCTGGGGCACTTTGACACTGAGTTTCTAGAATAGGACTGAGTACTTTTTTCCACAGGACTTTTCACAGTGGGCACACAAAAGGGGGGTGGGGTCAGTTTTGGCTTAAACCAAAGATGGTTCCAATTGAGATAAGGAGGAGGAACCTTTGCTGTCACAGACTTTGCTACTTTCTTGGGTCAGTGGTGCCTGACTGGGCAGTAGAAGGTTCTGTGGGTCAGGCTGGCTCCATCTGGCTGGTAGCTTATCTAGCAGTTGGACTCTGTCCCTTCCTCCCCACCACCCTGGGACACCCTCTGCAGCCAACCTGAAGCCTTTCCTCTCTTCCTTGCTGCAGAGGAGGATGGACCCTGTCTCCCCACACCACCAGGCTCAGGAAGACCCAGAGACACTTGCAACACTTGCAAGAATTTGTCAGAGAACAAAGCCAGAGTAGTTTGTGGACATAACTCCTCAAGGGGACCCCCCAAATGGTGACAGACATCACCACGTGGCCCTCAAGTCAGCTGGGGGTGGGGTGTGGCAGCACTCTGGAAATCTGTTTGTTTAGCCATCTTTCTCTTCCTCCCTCCCCACTTCCTCTTCTCATTTCCCCCACTCTGTCTACCTCTTTTTTTCCATTCCCTCCTTTGTCTTTCAAGACAGGGATGCTCTGTGTAGTCCTGGCTGGCCCTGAACTCAGGAATCTGTCTGCCTCTGCCTCATGAGTGCTGGTTTTAAAGGTGTGTGCCACCATGCCTGGCTCCTTTTGTTTTTTTGAGGCAAGGTCTCCTGAAGTCCATGCTGGTTTGGAACTCACTATGTGGCTTAGGCTGGGTTTGAACACTGATCTTCCTGCCTTCACCTCCTGAGCACCAGTGTGTGCCGCCACACAGCTCTTCCTTGTTTGGTGGGGTGTGTGTATGGGGGTGGTAGTTTGGATAGAGTCTGACTATGTAGCCTAGGCTGGTCTCCAACTGTTAATCTCCTGCCTGAGGCCAGCTAACCCCTCTAATTTCACTCCCTGTGGCTTTTCCCACAGTTTCCTAGGACTGAACATGTTTGCCTTCCTGGGGAACTTCTGCTTATCTTTGAAACCCAACTGTGATGGTTAATGTGAACTGTCAACTTGACAGAATCCAGATCACCTGGGAGATGAACCTTTAAGCAGCCTGTGGGTAATTATCTTGATTATATTAATTTATGTGGGAAGACCCATTTTAATTGTAGGTGAGACTTTCCCAAGGCAGGAAAGAGGGCCAGTGAGATGGCTTCATAGGTAAGGGCACTTGCAGTCAAACCTGAAAACCCAAATTCAACCCCTGCGACCCACAGGGGGATGAGAGAACCAACTCCTGCAAGTTATCCTCTAACCTCCACACATACATCATGCATCAGTGCCCTCCTACAAATATATAAAATGTAATAATAACTTTTAAAAATTAATAAAATGGTGCCAGTTAGCTAAGTCAATCATTTTACATTTTTTTTTTTCTTGAGACATGGTTTCTCTGTGTAGCCCCTGGCTGTCCTGAACTCACTCTGTAGACCAGGCTGGCCTTGAACTCTGAGGTCCACCTGCCTCTGACTCCCGAGTGCTGAGATTAAGGGCATCTGACACTACCACCTGGCTGCACTTTGCTTTATAATTTTTTTCTCTTTCTTTCTTTCTTTCTTTCTTTCTTTCTTTCTTTCTTTCTTTCTTTCTTTCTTTCTTTCTTTCTCTCTTTCTCTCTTTCTCTCTTTCTCTCTCTC